ACTCGACTAAATGATGAAAAAATGACAGGTTGTGATGAGAAAAGGTTCATGTAAAAAATCAACAACTTAAACTATAGAGCTGATTCATAATATATTATCAAATTAAACTTTACATCAAGCACAATGCATTGGGGGGTAATTCTTGTAAAAACACGATAACAAATCATGGAATCATCCCTGATGGCTTTTTTAATACACCAAATTAAATCTCTTTCTAAGCTCCACACATTGAACTAAACTGTATATTATTTTAGAAACTTAAAGGCGTATCCATTTGACCACGAGTGATCTAGCTACCATCGATTTTTAAAATCAATTTTCGAAATTATACTCAGTTGCAAAAGTTAGGTCATATCGATTATACTACGACAATGACTAATAATGCGGTTTTTAAAAAATCGTACCGCAACTTATCCTCAAATAATATCTCTTTATCGGGTGAATCAATGTCACCCATACTTTGCACAGCAGTTTGTATCAATTTTTGTCTTAACTTAATCATATCATTCACAACAATTGAGGCTAGATTAAAATTCTTCATAAATTTACAAGTATATAAAATACTATTAATCTCCGTCACGCGGAAAATCGGATTGTTCACAGCACTTCCCGCTTCTCACACACATAATTTTGCAAACGCGTATCCTTGCTACCTCAGAATTATAAAGGTCTTATCGGACATTTTTGGCCGTTTTGGGTTAATAAAACCATGATCTAATCAAAAACCAAACTTCTGTCTACTCTTTCTAAATTGTAAGATTATTCTGAGACTTAATTAAAATATTCAAAGAATTTTCATTCGGCCTATACCCTGGTGCAGCGTGAGAAAGGCAATGATTGGGATTGTTCGTAAAAGCTTGATGAATTATGTATTTGTAACTCAAAATCTTTCACGTCAAATAATGTCTCAAAACTAGGTATTGTGCAGGTAGAACATTGTAAATCTGAGGTAGCTATACATGGCCAACGTCATAGCTCACCAAATGAAACGTTTTTTAAGCAAAACTTGCTGCAAGAAATTAATTTTTATAGTGAACACTTTTTGCACTTCAGGTGCTCAAAACATTTTCAAAAAGCATATTAGAAACCAGAGATTACAGAATTGCTTTTAAAAAACGAGATCATTGCCCCAGCTGTAAACCTTTACAATCTGTAGAAACCACCCACTTAGATTTTTTAAATAGTATTTATTATGGAATTTTCTTATTTTAAAAACAGCTAACAGGTATTTACCAAAATAATATTGATCTTTGAAGACAAATTAAGATACAAGTTATGGTGCAAAAGCTGGAGAGTCTATGTTCGATAGATGAGTAGTCGAGGAAATGTTTGACAATAAGATGCGCCACGAATTTTTGACCGCTCTATCTTAATTAAACGCGCAGAAAAAAAAGGAAAAAGTGTGACTTGTGTGATTTAGAATCTATACGACTCCACGTGCGTGTGGGGCTAGAGATTTTTTAATGTCTGAATTCAGATGCTTCAATTGTGGTTGGGGCAATGTTCCCGGACTATACTTCACTTAAAAATTATGTCTTCAAAAGGTACTGCGAGAAAACAAGATTGCTCGACTTTGGCAGTAACCTATTTTGCATTTAGTCACCCCCTAATGCAAAAATAAAATCCTATTCATGTAAAAACAACAAAAAATCCTTCCACGCCCCCCCACCCCCGTTCACACCTTATACACGCACACATACACACATACAAACACATACACACACAATACTCTCACACACATACACACATACTCTCTCTCTCTCTCTCTCTCTCTCTC